ATTCATCACACAGCAGATTGATTCTCCATCATAATTGACTCTTACAGATGTAAGGGGATTGTAATTAACGCGACAGCATCACTTTCCTCATAAAATCACAAACTGCAGACCCAGCACCGCCGGATGACAAATGTGTCCTTTGCTGTGGTGCTGGCCTCCGTGGACCCAGAGCTCTCATGATCTGCAATATGCAGAGCAAACCGTGCAGTGGAGAAGGAACTCTTGCAGTGAGCAGGGACGGAGGGTGCTGGCCACTGCAGTGGCTATTGCCTGGCTTATGGGACCCTCCTCTCTGGGAACAGTCCTAGGAGAGGGACATACATACCGTCAGCCTTACCCAGGACCAGTCACAGAGGGTCCCAGGAATAAGATGAGTGGATGCTTCCCTGCGCTCAGGGGGATCCGAGGAGACACAGCAAAGGCTCTGTGGGAACCAAGAAGGGCAGAGTTATTTTATTGTGATGGGGAAGACAGGACTTCATGGAGGAGGCAGTGTTTGGGCAGGAGGGAGGTGTTCTTGGTGGAGGCTACAATATTTTAAATCAAGGAGGTAGGAAAGCAGGGCACCCGTTTAGAAAACATTCTGCAATCCGGTTTAGTGGTTGCCTGGGTGTGTTTAGGTGAGCATTTGGAAAAGAGGAGATAAAAATAGATGGGCACTTTGCTATAGACTGAATGTTTGTGTCCACTCCCCACCCTCACCCCACCACAAATTCCTATCTTGAAATCCTAATCCTTATGTGATGTTAATAGGAGGTGGACCCTTTGGGAGATGATTGGGTCTTGAGGGCGGAGCCCTCATACAGGGAATTAGTGCCCATATAAAAAGAAACCCCAGATAGTCCCCTCTCCCCTTCCACCACGTGAGCACACAGTGAGAAGATGCCATCTCTGAACCAGGAAGTGGGCTCTCACCAGACACTGAGTCTGCTGGGGCCTTGGTCTTGGACGTCCCAGCCTCCAGATTAAATAAGTATCTATGTTTGTAAACTACACAATTTGTGGTTCTGTTATAGCAGCTGGAATGGACTAAGACACACTGCCATGCTCTGCCTCAGTTCCTTCCCATAACACTGGTCCCCCAGCGACTGTGTGGAGGAAGGAGCTCTATTATTTCTGAGCGGTTGCCCCTGGTGGATTCATGCCTCAGAGACAGCTGACTTCCTTTACACTTTGTTTTAGGGAGTAGCTGAGGCTGAACTGGAAGAGGACCTGTATCGGACTTTCAAACTCTTTTTCAGAGCACATGATGAGGTGAGGGGCTCAGGGGTGGGAGGGTAGAAGGGAGATAGGTAGCAGGAAGGGGGAGCCGCAGAGGTGCAGAGGTCTCTGGATGGCCTCCCTCGGAAGATGGGGTGGGGACTGGAGCCTGGGAATGAGCAAGCTGGCATTCTTCCCTTTGATTTCTGTAGTCAGGGTGAGTGGGATCCTCACTCTACCGGTCACTCTAATGGGGGAAGGTCACATCCTCACTGCCACACACCAGTAAAGCTTTGAAACTAAAAACAAAGAATGATTATAACAGTGACTGTGGAGAAATTATACCATTTTAACCAACATGCATAATTGTTTATCAAAGCCCCAAATTAATTGCTGTTTCAACCCTTTTCATGAACAACCACAGTTGCTTATAATGGTTTATCTCCTTACCCTCCACCCACCCTCACATAGTCAGTGCCTGCTTAGCCTTTCCCATGTTTGCCACTTTCTGTGCTGACCGCTTCTAGCATCTCACTCTTTTATATTGAGTTCAATTGCTTCTTTCTGAAGGGCTTTCTTTTGTAGTTAGTTCTTTCCAGTCTGTTAGTAGTAAACTCATAATGTTTTTGGCCAAAAAACATCTTGTTTGCTTTCAATCTTGAATAGTTTGAATATGGAATTCTAGGTTGACAATTTTTTTTTCTTTTAGAGTCTCCTGTCATTGTTTATGTGAAACATGCCTCCGGTCTACCCTATTATTGGTTTCTTAGTGGTGTTTAATCTGCAGGTTAACCCATCTTTGAAGTTTTGTGTGTTTTTTGTTTTTCTTTCAATGAACATTTTTTGAAATTTATGAAAGTTTTATTTGGCTCCTTTTCAAATCACTCTGATCTATTGTTCTGTTCTTGTTTTTCAGTTTCTTTTATGTTTTTAATAATTTTAAGCATACTCATTTTCATTCTCTCCCTCTCTCTCGCAAGTTCTATTAGTTGATACTAGGGGCCTGGTGCATGAAATTCGTGCATGGTGGGTAGGTCCCTCAGCCCAACCTGCACCCTCTCCAATCTGGGAGCCCTCAGGGGATGTCCTACTGACAGCTTAGGCCTGCTCCCCATGGTTCTCTGCTCTCTGAGGACCCACCTGCTTGATGCCACCTCAGGCCCTGGTGTCTGCTCTCTGGGGGGGCCTGCTTGCCCTTTGCTGCTCTCTGTGGGGGCTTGCTTGCCCTTCTGGCTCGCCGCCACAGGGGCAAGCAGGGCCCTGCTGTCTGCTCTCTATGAGGGCCCTGCAGGGGACTGCTTGCCCCTCACTGCTAAAGCCAGGGGCAAGCAGGGCCCTGCTGTCTGTTTGCTCACTGCGGGGGACTGCTTGCCCCTCGCTGTCATGGCCAGAGGCAATCAGGGCCCTGCTGTCTGCTTGCTCGCTGCAGGAGACATTCCCGCCCTGCCCCAAGCTGCTCAGCGACTGCACACTTAGGCCTGGAGTGGCCGGAGGCATTCCAGGACCCCAGCTGCTCCAGCCCTATGCACGGGCCTACAGGCTCAGAGCGGCCTGGGTCCCAAGGATGCCTGTCCCCAGGACTCAGGCTGCTTGTCCCCGGCACTTGTGCATGCAGCCGCCCCACCCCCAGCCGCTCGGCACCTGCATATGCAAATTTGTTGGGTTAATTTGCATACTCACTCCTGATTGGCTGGTGGTCTTTGCAAAGTGATGGTCAATTTGCATCTTTCTCTTTTATTAGTGTAGATTCACTATTTGCTATGTTTACTGTCTTTTGCAATGGGATTTGCAGGAGGGGGGTGGGATAGAGAAGAGAGGGAGTTTTGTAATTTTGGTTTGTGAGCTCATCTTGAAGCAGCACTGAATCTGTGCCAGTTGGCTTTAGCTGGGATTGAGGAAATGGCCCTCTTGTGTTTTAGCACTGGCTGCTTCTGTCAGACATCCTTTGTTGTGGTTACTGTGGACTTTGCATCTTGGGCATTTCCAGATCATGGAGAGAGTGTAAATTCAAACCCAAGCACTGGTGAAGGCAGGCTCATAGCTATGAATTTCTGGGTGAACATTTTTTGGTTTCCTCTTAGTTCCAAACTGAATGGACCAACTCCTTTGACATCTCCCTGTCATGATGGGTGGGACCACAGATTTACTGTGGAGGGTCTTATTTTTAACTTCCCATCTGCCATAGACCTAAGGTCTCATCTCTATTCCCATTGGTTTATAGAATCAAGTTCTCATATCACCAAGACCTGCAAGGGGCGGGGGGGGGGGGCAGCTTAGGCCCAAAGCTTTGATTGTTAGCTATTTCTGCTGTGACCCCTGAGGACTTTCCTACCTCTCGGGAGTTTAGCATGTTTGTACTAGTCTGATGGCACTAGTAGGTGACCTGTTCCAGCATATTTTCTCTACCCATGACATAATCTCCAACTTTTCTTCCTACAGACCGAGCTCAACACGTCCAACGTCTGTGAAAAGGGTAAGAGGTATTCTTAGAAGGGAAGGGAGACAGGAGGGCCATGGCAGGAGCCAGCTGAGCATTGAATGAGCATTTCTCCATCAGACTCTATGAGCAGAAACAGCCACCTGCCAGCTCTGAACTATGACTGGCTTACCATTGGGTTCCCCGCAGGTGACTAACACTCCCCTTAGCCCTGAGCTGACCACAGGGCCTCAGGTTCCTTTCCTTCAGGGACCTTTGGATTCAAGATCTTAAACAGTAAGAGCTTGGGGGACTCTTAGAGCTTGTCGGGGCAATCCCAGCCTCTACTGACAAGGACCGAGACCCAAGATAGGAACTGACATCGGCAGGGTCACCTGGTGCAGGCAGAGGGAGAGTTGGGCTAGACCCCAAGCCAGGTCTCCCCTGTCATAGTCCACTGTCCTCCCCTCCATCCCAGCCCCGAGTCCTGTCATTCCAGTTCCGTCACATTTCCACCCTTGTCCTCCCTCCTGAGTTGGAAACAAGTGAGGAGTCAGAGTGAAGAACAGACTGGAGTTCATCCATGGCTCCGAGATCCAGCACTGTTCCCACAGACCTTACCTTTGCCCCAACACTCTGGCCCTACCATTATTCACTTGTATTTTTATTGATAATGAGGACACTACTACTTGTTTGTGCACCTACTATGTGCAGCAAATGCTGGCCTGGCCCTCTTTAGATACATTATTTATAATCCTCATGACACCCTTAAAAATCCCATTATTACTGTATTCTACATGTGAGGACAGTGAAGCTCAGGAACTTGTCCAAGTGGCCAGGCTGGGTTCAAACTCCTCTGACCCTAAAGGCCATACTCCTCTCACTGGTCAAGACCACGTCTCCCTTCCCTCTCGCCTCCTCTCTCCATTCCTTTTCTCGGTCACTCGGTCACTCTGCATTCCTTCGCTCTGCAGACAGTTTGAGCTCACACTTGGTGAGGCAGGGACAGACATCCAAACACAGGCAGCAGAGTCGGAGAGTCCAAGGGCAGGCGGACGGATGGCAGGAACGCAGGGAGGGGGGCAGGAGGGGCTCTCACCCCGGCCCCGAGACAGCAGAGAGCTAGGAGCTCTGGCCTCCAGGGAGGCTCAAGTGCTTCATCACAGAAGCACCTGCTCACATAGCCCTGCGATGGAGCTCACAGAAGGCTGCATCCATCCCCCAGCTCCTGTACCTCCAAAGCTCCCAGCTGAGCCTGGGGAGCCCCCCGGGGCTGCCCCCCGTGAAATGGCGGTGGTCCCTGGACTGTCCATCAGCATCACGGGGTTCTTCCCACCCCCAGGATGGGGAACTGCCAGGACACAGTGTACACCCCTGAAAACAAATGAGATTCCACACTGAGGGAGGGCCTGTGAGTGTGCCGAGGGCAGCAGCACGCCTGCGCCCTGGCCGACGGTTTTCCAGGCTCCGAGGATATCGGAGCAGGCACTGGTGAACATTCCAAGACTCTCCGTGGAGAAAGCTGAAGAGGGATGGGATTCGTTAAGCTAGGGAGGAAAGGCTTCGTCTAGGGGAGAGGGAGAGCTGGAGGGCTGGCAGGGCCGAAGACAGGTGTCATCCTGGGACGGAGGTGTCGTTTTGGGAGGACAGGAGGGGGGTGGTCAGTCCTTGTGTGTGTCCCAGAAGCGGAGGCCTGAGTGTGACACTCTTGGGTTCTAGAATGACAGAGGCAACAATGACTTCTCTGACGGAGAGGAAAGGGCTCCCTGTGGATAAGAGAGGATGAGTGAAGGAGCGCCCAGGGAGGCGGGAGGCAGTTTGGAGGTCAGCCTCCATTGCGAAGGCCGGCACTCGCTGTGGGACCCCTGGCTGAGGGTGTGGGATCGGGAACAAGTGGCTTTTTGCAGGAGGACTCTTTGTGGACGCCCCGAAAGACCCCAGCCTCAGTAGGATTGTGACTGAGGACGACATCCGCTTCTACGTGCAGCAGTTCAAGAAGTCCGGTTTCAGGTACACGGAGTGGCGCCCAGAACACAGGAGAGGCCGGTCAGCACACGGGGCTGCTGTGCTCAGGGTGCAGGACAGGCCCGGTTCCCGCCCCCACGGCCCGTGGAGGCCTGGCTGCCCTGCTTCCCTGCCCCCAGTGGTGGGAGGCTCACCGTCGGCTCTGGTTTGGGGTGGCTCACCTCCCTCTACCTTCTGGCCCCCTCAGAGCAGATGCTTTTAACCTTTTTCCAGTCACGACCCCCATGAGAATCAAATGACAGTTCTGAGTTCTTTCTTCAGAAAAACACCGACACTCAAAAACTGCATACATTTTTAGGGGGACCGGAGACCTCTCTCTCTCTCCTTTCTTTTTTTAAAAAATATATTTTATTGGTTTTTTTACAGAGAGGAAGGGGGAGGGATAGAGAGAAACATCGATGAGAGAGAAACATCGATCAGCTGCCTCCAAACCAGTTAGGGCGACCTCTCTCTCCTTTTAAACAGCTTTGTTGAGCGCTGGCTCACATACCATATAGAATTCACCCTCTGAAAGCATCCAGTGAAGAGGTTTTAGCCCATTCACGGAGCCGTGCGGTCATCACCACATCGCCCCAAAAAGAAATGCCATTTCCTTGAGCAATCAGCTCTCCCCTACTTCCCCTCGAACCCCTAGTCCTAGGCCGTCCCTATCTGCCCTCCATCTCCATGGATTTGCCAACTCCGGGCATTTCACATAAATGCAGTACAGTGTGTGCGCCTCTGTACCTGGCTTATCGCTCAGCTGGTGCTCTCAGAGTTCTCCACGTTGTAGCAGGTGTCCAACCTCATACCCTTGGCTCAGGCCTGCGTTCACGCTGATGGTCTGGGCCTCTGCTCTGGAACCACAAGGCATTGCTCCAACGGCCCCTTTCCTGCATAGCCCTTCGAATATGTACACGTTGCAAATCTTTGAAGCTCCTGGTTTCTTCAAGGATATTGCAGTTCACCACATGTCCATCCTTCTTCTCTCCCTTGTGCCTCTCTCTACACTTCCATCCTTTACTCCAACCCGAGGGCAGAGAAAGAGCCAAGCCATGGGCACCGCCTTGGCCAGCCCCGCCCGGAAGTCCTCTATCCTGTAGCCTTGGCTGGGAACGCCTGTGGCCCCCACCCTTTAGCCCCAGAATCTCTTGCACCACCACAACCTACAGCTTTTCCCTAAGTTTTTTTTTTCTTCTTTTGAGGCTGAGACCATTTAAGAGTCTCAGATTTGAGGACAGCTTTGCTCTGAAGGGAGCATAGAGATAATGTGGCCTCACCCCCTCCTTGTTCGGGAGGGAAAATGAAAAGTCCCAAAAGGTATTCCCAGGGCCTAGAGCTGTGAGACCTGAGAGCACCAACCCCGACTAGGCCCGAGGACTGGCAGAGGGTTCTAGGTCCAGCCCCAGAGCCGCCCTGCCTGTCCCTGAGGAGACACCTCTGCACCCCCCCCTGAAGTCCCTTTTCCAGGGGTTCCCCAGGGCAGGGGAGTGGCCTCTGGATGCTGAGGGCGCTAATCAAGCTCCCACCCTTTTACGTAACAGCCCTGGGATGACATGGTGAGTCCTGTGGGGCCAGCTCCGAGTGACAGCCCTCTCCACAGACCCTCTCCGTGAACCCCGTGTGTCCCCAGGCCTGGCACTTAGGCACTGTTGTGCCGGGCTCGGTCCTCTTTCCCCAGAAGCTTGGCTCTCCCTGGGAGACTGGTGCCTGGTGGGTCCGCAGCACAGTCATGGACTAAACGCTTTCCTGTCTTTATTCCCTGATCTGCCCCCCAGGGGTCCCCTAAACTGGTATCGAAACATAGACAGGAACTGGAAGTGGGGCTGCAAAGGCACAGGACGGAAGGTGAGTGCTGGGTTAGTGTTGCTCTTTCCCCGATGCGCCACCCCCACCCGGCTTCCCATTGCCCCGGGTCAGAGCTGGGGGTGGACAGACGGACCTGTGGACTTCCTCCTTTCTGTCCTTTTCCTCTGGGCTTCGGAAGTGCCTCCTCAAGGGTTTCCCTTGAGGCCTCTTCTGCTGACGCTTCTCTTGGAATGGGTGGAGTTAGGGACAGAACAGGGATCTGACTGGGTGACTACAGCTTCAGTCTGGGAGGCCCAGGTCTCCTGGTGCTGCCCCAGCTCAGGGCAGCAGATGGTCCAGGGTGACTCCCAAACAGTTCACTGATGGAGCACTGGGTGTTCTCAGAGAGGCAGGGCTTCGTCTCGGCCTTATCACATGACCAAGTCAGTCTGTGGCTCTGTTTCCTCGTTTGTCCAGCAGAAGATGGTTTCCAATCTCAGGGTCTGCGATGGGAGTAATGGGGCCCCCAGTTTACATTCAAAACATTCAAAACCTAAGGGTGATTGCGTTTTCAAGGTCCTCGCTCATTTGGGAGCCCTGGTCATCTTGTTCAGCCCTGGTCAACTGTGAACACCCTCTATGTGTCAGGCACTGTGTTAGACCGCGGATTTATCAAATGAATAAAAGACGAAGCCTTGACCACATGGGTTAGTCTGGAGGCAGCACAGCGTAGAAGGCAGTGGTTAAGAGTGGGCTGGACAGAAATTCGGCCTGGGATCTGATCCCTGTGTGGCCTTGGCCACACTCTTAACTAGTGTGTTCTTCGTTGCCGCTTCTGTAATCTGGGAATGACAACAATGGTGCTAACATGTAACGATAACATGGGTTAATGCACATAAAATGCTTAGAACAGTGCCTAGCACATAGCAGTAGTTCAATTAATGTTCCTTATCATCACTGTACTCTGTGATTGACAAAAATTATAAAGCCACAGTTTGATGGGCAAAATCTCTCCAAGTGTGGATGGACATAATGTCAAAGATTCTGGGAAGGCAAATCCTGATGGTGCTTAAGTTGGGAATTCTCTTCTTCTGCAGCCACCTTTCAGATCTCCCTCCTCTCCCACCTCCTCTGTGCCCCCACCATCAGTTTACATTTTGACTTGGAGCATTCTAGTGCTTGCCCAGCCCACTGCGGCCTCCGGATGACTTTCAGCACCAAAAGCACGTTTGCATGTCTTCTGTTCATGCTCTCATTTGGAGGACGGGGTGCGGTGGGTAAAAAAAATAGTGCAGATTTCTTAATCAGGGACAAACTGGAGCTGTTTGAACATTATAATGGCAGAGTGAGAACAAAGAGAATAAATGGAGGTTTTCATGGCCTTGCCAGGCCCCATTTATCAGTGGATAAAAGAGAGGTCATTTTGCTGCCTCTACTGTCACGTTGGTAACAGCTGTGTCTGGCCTGTTCACGCTCCAGAGCAGTGGTTCTCAACCTGTGGGTCGAGACCCCTTTAGGAGGGGTCGCCTAAGACCATCGGAAAACACATATAATTACATATTGTTTTTGTGATTAATCACTATGCTTTAATTATGTTCAGTTTTTAACAATGAAATTGGGGGTCACCACAACATGAGGAACTGTATTAAAGGGTCGTGGCATTAGGAAGGCTGAGAACCGCTGCTCTAGAGTGTGGGCTGCCCTTTTGAAGCATCCATTTAACTCAAAGAAAAGGAATATTGATCTCCATGCAAGGGCATTTCTTCCTTTCTTGTCCCATCCCACAGAGTGGGCCAGCCCACGCATTCTACTTACACACACACATACACACACACATACACACACATATACACACACACACACATACACCAAAGCCCATGTTGGTCACTGCACTGCTATGTTCATCTGTATTAGAAAACTCAGTCTTCTCCTGAATCGTTACATTCACACAAAACATTTCACTTCTGGTCATGAAATGTGTGAGGGTTTTTCCCCCAACAGGCAATTCTCTGCAGTATCAGCTGGTGTCCTACACTTTAACTATTAAATTCTAGCACTATCTACCTGAGGTAGCGCCACATCCCACAGGTTAAGGGTTCAGGCCTCCAGCTTATTATTATATACCAGTAATTCTAAACAATGTCCATGATAAAGTGCTCCTTCCCCCACAAATTATTATTGGTTTAAGTTCTAAACATGCTGCTGTTAGTGTTATTGCATAGTGACACACACACACACACACACACACATACTTCAGACACGCATCGTAAGTCCAGTTGTCACCCGTGCTTCTGACCAGTTATAGACCTGAGGCTCCCACCACCCCTCCTCACTTCGACCACTGTTTGCTAGAGTGGCTCACAGAACTCGGGGAGCCTCTTACCCTATGAGCTTAGTAAAGGAGGAGAGACAGGACACAGGTGCGCAGCCACCTGGAGAAATACAAGGGCGAGGTCTGGGAGGGTGTGAGCACTGGAGCCTCTGTGCCCGGGGAGCCGAGTGCCACCCTCCCGGGTACATGGGTGAGTTCCCCAGTGTGCTGCTGAGATTTTTATGGAGCTTCCTCGTGTGGGCATGATCAGTTGTTCACCCCATTACAGTCCCTCTCCAGAGGAGAGAGAGAGAGAGAGAGAGAGAGAGAGAGAGAGAGAGAGAGAGAGAGAGGGGTGAGGAAAGGGGGCTGAAAACAGAACTTCTAATCATGGCTGGGTTAGAGTGGCTCACAGAACTCGGGGAGCCTCTTACTTACCCTATGAGCTTAGTAAAGGAGGAGAAACAGGACACAGGTGCACAGCCACCTGGAGAAATACAAGGGCGAGGTCTGGGAGGATGTGAGCACTGGAGCCTCTGTGCCCGGGGAGCCGAGTGCCACCCTCCCGGGTACATGGGTGAGTTCCCCAGTGTGGACACGCTCCAAACTCCATGCTACTGAGATTTTTATGGAGCTTCCTCGTGTGGGCATGATCAGTTGTTCACCCCATTACAGTCCCTCTCCAGAGGAGAGAGAGAGAGAGAGAGAGA